ACCAAAAATGAGCCACATAAAACAGTATGATAACACTGAGGAAATAAACAATAGGAAATGGAAGAATAAAAATAGCATGATTAGAAAGGCAGTTCAGTTAGACACATTTGAAACGAAACATTCATTATTTTTCAGTAGCAGAAGATAGAAGGAAGCTACAGCATGACTGCCAGTGGTTTCGATTCTGAGCCATATCTAATAACGTCTCAAGCCGTTTAGTTGCAAGATCTCCAGGTCCTCATCCAGAGAGTCGTTATGCACCAACATATGCTTATCCGATACAACTATCTCTCATCCCACAGCACCACGTCATTCTCTGACCACCCCCGCGGCTTCTTCCATCGAGTACCAGGGTTAGCAAACAATGAACGGTGGGGAAGCCGTTGGGAAGACACGCGTAACACATGTCCAAGCCACTAAGGCCAGAGTTTCCAGGTGGCATCACTTAATGAATGACGATTCCCATCACGCTAAAACACGCACTGTAGCACCTCAGGATTAATTAGATTGTGTTGTCACCGGATGCGAGCAATCCTATTGAGAGAACGGTGATCGAACACACAAAGCCGTCGCATATCTTCAACTCTAAGAGGTCAAGTTTCACAGGAGTAGAGCAGAAATGCTCGCACCGAAGCGTTATAAACCCGATCTTTTACGGTCAAGCTAACGTCGTGACGGTGCCAAAGGTAGCAAAGATTGACGCATGACACTCTGGCTTTCTTTATACGGTTGGAAATCTCATCACTCACACCTCCACCAGCACTCATACAACTTTCCAGATACTTGAACTTTTCGACTACTTCCAACGGCTCACCATAAAGCGTGAATGCATGCACAGGTTCCGATTGATCTTGCAAAAGTACTTTGGACTTCCGTACTTCAAAGCTTATAGAAAAGTAATAAAGCAGTCACAAGTAAACTTCGTTACATATGTCAATAAAATTTTCATTTTATAAGGTATATTTTTAAAGTTGACTTTTTTTCTACTTTACTCTGGCAAGATTATGTTCCCCAAACAGTTTATATACTATTCAATTTTGAGGGAGTTGTGGAGATTTGGAAATATTTCAAGTTGTTATTCATCGAAGACTGGCATCAGTTGGAGGAACAAAGGGAACCTGGGAGCACTGGACAGCTGTTTCGTCCGACTAGTATGGGACTCCTCAACAGTGCACACCCACGACCCCACCAGCAGGGATCGAACCCGCGACCTTCAGGTTCCGCAACCAGCGCGTTACCATTGAGCCACTTGGTCACAATCCAATGCTCCATATTTCCAACTTCTGTTAGCTGATGCACGATATAGCGCAAACTGCCACCCAATGTAATCGTTGAGTATTTGTCCTCACGACCATCAGGCTTTAACTCCACTTCTCATTGGAACTTCGGGAATACTTCTAGTCACCAATGAGCACCAGTTCAATTAAATTTTGAGGGGGTTGTGGAGATTTGGAAACATTTCAAGTTGTTATTCATCGAAGACTAACATCAGTTGGAGGAACAAAGGAAACCTGGGAGCACTGGACAGCTGTTTCGTCCTAGTATGGGACTCCTCAGCAGTGTGCTGGCAGCGGAACCTGAAGGTCGCGGGTTCGGTCCCTGCTGGTGGGGTCGTGAGTGCGCACTGTTGAGGAGTCCCATACTAGGACGAGACAGCTGTTGAGTGCTCCCAGGTTTCCTTTGTTCCTTCAACTGATGTCAATCTTCGATGAATAACAACTTTATATACATTCTTTTAAATGAAAAATGGTTGGATAAAATTGTAATTTTGAAATTTATACACTTCGGTGATCTGTTTACTTTATAATTCAATTCTGAATGCTATATGCATAAGATTTGTATTCAATTAACTTTATTTTTCTGAATTTCAGTTTTTATTAAGAATTAATTGATTTTTATTACTTTCATTAAAATTAATTTATTTTTAATCACCTCATTTACATTGTCAAGTGAACATTTAACTCTTTCACTTCATATTTATTTAAAGACACTTTTCTTATTGTCTTCTCAACGATTTGTGACAAATTTTATTCAATCTAAATTATCGAGTAACATTTCTGTACATCTGTAATTTGCTTTTACAATAATGACCAGATTACAATTTTTTCTTAAGCAATAAAGTACAATATGAGATTAGTGGTGAACGGTATTAAGTGGAATTACATAATGATGTAATAGGAAAAATGTAAATTATTCTGATTTCAATAAAACATAATAGGCTTTCTTCATTCTTAATCATCACTGACTAGTCTTAGTAGCATGAAAATGATTATGTATTACAGATCTATTCTCTACATTTTAGGTATTTGCAATTTATCAAGATTGTATACTTCGACTATGGTTTAGTGTTTACCAGTTGTGATAAATTCTTATTTCTGTTAAAGATTTTCGAATATGAAATAGATTTGATTACAGTATACCAATACTGACCCAGGATAAGTGCTTATCAATGTAGAAGGATAGTCAGTCTATGATCTACTTTAGTGGTTCAGTAATGCATAGGTGAACAATATTTTGCTAACTGTACATTAATCTTCCTCATCAGATACTTTAAATGTAAACATAATGATTTGTGAGGAACAAGTTACTGAGTTTGATATGTTACATAGCTGTTCGGTGGGATTTAAATTCTAGATTTTAAAAGCATTCATTTATCCTGTGATTCAATAGATGTTTCGTCTCATTTTCTCTACTTTCCACTTAACTAGTTGTGGATATTTCCTCACCTTTTATTACTTGATATGATTGGAGGTGAAATGAAAATTTGAACTGCTGACGGATTTGGACCAGGGATCACTGGGTTACCTCCCCGGTGCTCTACCAACTGAGCTACAAAGTGAAATAAAAATCTGGTCAGCAGTTGGACATTGTAGCTCAATTGGTAGAGCACTAGACAAGTAACTTGGTGGTCGTTGGTTTGAATCCGACCGCAGCCGAAATTTTTATTTCACCTTCAATCATTATCCAGTATGAAATACTAGTCTGCCAAACTATAGCTATCTCAGATAGTAAAAATGATAATCAATATGATACTCCCTATCTCTGAATCAGTTAGATTTTGATTGGGATGAAAAGTCATCACTAAGCAGCAAGTGTGAATATGATCATACAGTAGTTATGAGTCACGATTTCACATGGTGGTCGAGTAGAACACTTGGTGATTGAAGTAAAATAAAAATCTGGTCAACAGTTGGACCTGGTAGGTGAGTTGGTAGAGCATCGGGTGGGAAAACTATGAGTTGCTGGTTGTAATTCTACTACTGTGTAAATTATCATTTGACTCTCAGTCCTTAGGCAGCATGAAATACTAGTCTGGCAAACTATGGCTATCTCAGATAGTCAAATGATAATTATTGATATATGTTAGACCAGTATGTCTGTTACAAGTGAATACAAAATATTAGCATTTAGATTGCTACTGTGGACTTTCATAAAATGAGCTGCATGATGCAATCGTTTACTTCACAGTAACATGAAAAGATAAAATGGGCAGAAAAAGGCAGATATTAAGACATACGCAAGTATATGGGAAGAGAGGGGAATTGAAGAAGCATCTAATCGCTAGAAGACATGAAAGAGTGAATACATTTGCTCCATTGTGACCGATTATCAGTCATACCAACTACTGATTCCTATCATCTCGAGGCCCCAACCAGGTAGTTTCCACCTTTCTACATGGATCAGACTAACAGTCGGGGTTTTCATCCAATGACATTATGCCTTTATTCGATCACTCTAAACTACTCTTCAACTTAATCCAATATATTGTCATCTCTTCCCAAGAACCTTTGACCTCACCACGACATTGATAACATAATGATTCCATCATGCGGGAGCAGTGTTGTGAGGACACCAATGGTCCAAAACACACAGTCTCTTTATATCTACTTTCCACGGTCAGCTGTCACGGTTGAGTAACAGAATAGAATGAACTTCAGGTCAGTATGCTTGTCCACTGACACTTAATTGGATATCTCTCCAGTCTTCACTATAAGTGACGACAATGGTGAAAAGGTCTTCTGTATCCAAGCTGAAGTTTCCAGAATGGTTTCAAATGACAGAGAAAAAACACCATCTATAGTGATATAAGTAATAAATTTTGTCAATAATGTAATCATACTACTTGAACTACAAAAGAGATAAAAACCTTTAAATGTATTGTACAATCCAAAACATTGAATTACAAGGTGACAAACACTAAATTTTTTTGAGAACTAAAAGTTTAGTTGTAGTATCAAAAGGTCTTATAGAATTTTCTATGAAAATACTGACTGAAGGTATGTTTAAATGAGAAACTGTTAAAATGTTTTATTCTAATGAACCAAATTACCTTGGAATATAGCAAAACTTTGATATTGAGATAGTTATAGTAGGTATACTGAAAGAATTCAATTTATTTAATGACAGTATATTGAAGAGAATGTCATAGAATGAAATAAAGTTTCATTCAATTTTTTTAACCGGTCTTTTTAAATATTTTGATGTTGAAGAAGTTAATAAATTCTAGTAGAAAGTCTTGATCAAAAAAGGGGGTGTTAATAAAAAGTGCCTAATTAATATTAACTAGTAATAATTTATTATGCTCGTTACTGAAGTCCAGATGGCTGGAAAGAATAAGCAACAAGGAACTCTGGCTGGCCTACCAACGAACTAACCAACAACCTATCACTCAACAAATATACAGAAGGAATTAGAGGTGGATTGGGCATACACTGAGAAGGCTGACTGGGAATATCACATGCCAGGCTAGGCCCTTGAGTGTAACCCAGATCAGAAACGACGAGTTAGCCGTCCGAGGTGAGGTTGACATGGAGGAGATCGTACGAGGAAGAAATGAGAGCTTGTGGACTGTAGTGGAGCCAGGTTTAAAAGTTTGCAGAGAGTAGACGTACTACTGAATCCCATGTTCCATTAGGAACCCAAGGGGCAAATAATAATAATAATAATAATAATAATAATAATAATAATAATAAGCAATAATTAATTAATTGTATACTTACTTTCATTATTTAGTATGTTATTTATTAAACAAATGTCCATCATAATGTTATTGCTTGTCCATCATATTTTATTCTTTATTTGTTATGTAATAGTTGTGTATTCAAGTAAGGTGAAAATGATGAGACTGTATACGAAACTCATTCATTCCTTCTTAATGATAATACATTAAAAGATAGAAAATAAAACAGCTCAGCTTCATTGTTATCAGCTATGAGGATTACACAATTAAATTTAACAAATAATCATGTTCTCTAATGATGTAACTGTTATAAAATCAAAACTCGTAAAAATCTGTATCAATTAGCATCGAGTATTATACATTTAAAATACATTTTTAGATAGACAGACATATTGGATTTGTAACTGATTGGCTAATTTGAACTTATTTATGATCACTGAAACATCAATTGTAAACTTAAAGTTGGAAAAAAAAATACACGGATACTAATAAATCCAAGCAGAAAATAATCCCAATAAACTCCGGGGTTTGAAGCGATGGGTACGAGGTTCGAGTCTCAATGAGAACAACAGCACTGAGGTACAGGTATATCCAGCTGACGAGCCCGAAATGGGACGAAACGCGCATCTTGAATTCTTCTGTTAGCCACAACCAACCAAATTATCAAAACTAGAATATGAATAAATATTCAGGATGAATGAGTTAAAATTCCTCTGCCACACTTTACGTTTAATTAAGAGATCGTGCTAAGAATATAATTATTATCATTTGGATGCTATGATTACAGCTGTCAGTTATGTCAGATAGTGAATAGGCGTAAATAGGTGTGAATATAAAAATGTGGTTGTGTATAGACTCAGATGGAAGGGTTATACACTTTTACCTTGATAGGCTAATGAATCACCAGCTGATCATGGGATAATGAAAGTAATAAACATTTGACACTAAATTTCCCCTATTTTGACTTGCATAATTTGTTTCATTAACTGTCGCACTTTCTACTTGTATCTTTGTTACATTTGCGATTGTAAGTGAAACATTAAACAGTTTGAGCACTTTCTAACTACTCAAATTGTTCAATAGTAGTATATTTACTGAATGATGATGACTACTTTCGATGGATAAGCGTAAGCTAATAACAGTGTGTGCTTCAAAACAGTTATGTACACATATGTGTGATTAACCTATAGTTGAGCAGTACTGGGTTAACATCCTGTCAGAAATTGTATAGTGCAGAACCACCGTACATTTTATTGCATTAGATAATAAATGTATTTAAGGTTAAAATAGTCAATCAATCGGAAATTTATTTCGAGGATTCATGCACCTTTGTTTAGTAATGGAAGTTAGAGTTCACTTGACTAACATGTTAGTGTTTATATGAGCTCTATACTAGTTCACAGCTGATGGGAGAATTTAGAGCTCCGGTTAACGTTGATTATCATTCGGTTAAAAACTGGTTAATGCAAGGAATTCTTATTTTAATATAATTGTTTGTATTATACCGTCGTTGATTAGACCAAATTGATCGGTCTCTATTGGCATATAGGCTGCTGTGTGGATGCCTCGATATTACCTGAGTTCTAATTATAGTGATGATGGATAGTGACGAACAGTGGGATCCAGGATGCGCATTTCGTCTTATTCGGGACTCATCGGCTGGATGTACCTGCCTCCCAGAGATTGATGTTGTTCCCACCGGGATTCAGACTCAGTAGCTGGGTGGCGTAGTGAATAACGCTCTGGAGTTTGAAGCGACCGCTTCCGAGTCCGAATCCCGGTGAGAACAGCATTACTGAATGGGAGGCAGGTACATCCAGCTCACGAGTCCCGAAAAGCCACTATCTACCATTACTACAATTCTTGTTATAAACTGAATTGTCTACTACTGAATCCTATGATATCAGCAACCAGTGAAACTTCTTTAGAAATTTGGAACAAAAGAGTTTTCATTTGGAGTTCACCATGGACTGACGTTAGTTGAAGGAACACTGGAAACCTAGGAGCACTGGGCAGTTATTTCGTCCCTCAGCAGTGTTCACTTATGACCTTGCCAGAGATCGAACCCAGAACCTTCAGGTTTCATGACCAACACGTTACCAGTGAACCAATGAATCGGAATCTACTTGTCCATATTTCTTACTTCTGTCAGTTCAAGAAATAGCGTGGCCTTGATCCAGTATTGTCGTCCAGTAACTGTCTTCAGGTTTGACTTTGTTGGCTCTACTGGTCACGTCTTCTCACTGGAAATTTCAAGAATCACCTTTCTAGCGCTTATTGGTGAATATTTTCGAGGGATGATTCCTGAGGTTCTTATGGGAAAACAAGACCAATAGAGCCAACTAAATCGAACATGATAACAGTTACTCGTCAACCGCATTGGATGAAGGTCGTACTTTATCGTCAACTGACAGTAGCTCAATCGTATATATGTATATGAAATATTTGAAATCCTGTTGCTTGAGCTATATGTAAAAGATGAGTTTGAACTCCATTGGAACGGTTCGGTAGGATGCTGTAAATCACTTTCAGCGATCTCGTTTTACCCACCCTTTGATCATTATTAACTGGAATCAATAATATGGAATTTATTATGGATTTACCGTAGTTTGTTTTCATTCACGAAGGTAGGTCCTCGGTAATACTTTGGTGAAGTTGTCTAGTCATACGTCCGTTATAACTGTCACCACAGGAGCAATTAAATTGATGAATATACAAGGAAGTGGCGAAAGCAATATCACACGTATCAGTTTACTAATCAATATATAATAATTTCATAGTGAACAGCATCAAAAATTAGGGATCATTTATTTTAAAGAGGCAAAATTTACAGTGTACTTGCTCAACTCCCGAAATCTAATGAAAGAAACCCCCTAATCACTCCCCTGACTTCAAGGTCCTTAGATATCGTAGAACTTAAGAGAATGCCTTAATGAGACCTGTATTTCTTTGATACAAACCTCATCCTTTAGACAATGAAATGAAATCAAATGTTATACAACTTTCAACGTCAAATGACACAGTATTTTCAAAGGTCACATACTGTTACATTCAATAATCTCATCCTCTTAAAGTTACAAACTAATGGCTTTTTCCTTACAGAATAATAATTTCTCCTGATTTTGTATAATGAAGTTAAAATTCATGTATTTCCCAATCAAATATAAATAGAGCAAATAACGGTAAATAATAGGCATGTGTATAAGCTTAATAAAAAATGAATAAGTAATTAATTATTGCAATAAAAAGATTAACAATGTAAAAACATTCTGAAGCCGATCTATACATATATCAGGAGAACATTTATCTTCATGTTTGCCTTTGTTTATTGTTTAAACATGCTTTTAATTGATATACAAAATAAAAACTAATAAAATTTTAGCCTGACAAGAACAATTTATGTTAATTGTGTTCAGCTTACAATATACAGATTAATTAATATGCCAATAGCCTTGCTTAACTCTGGTTGTCTATTTTGTAGTTTATGTAATTTTTGTATACTTCCTCTGTGGAGATTTACCATCTAACATAGTACGGTTCATTAACGTTATGTAACATTTCCCTTTCAGAATAATATAAACATATATATATATATATATATATATATATATATATATATATATATATAGTAAGTTAGACTAATTTCAAAACACCGCTGAAGTAATACGTGCCAACTTGAAATCAGTAAATCCTCACAAACCTTCAAATTATCCAGTTCTCATTGATAGTATGGCTTGAGATGAGACTTCTCGAAGTTCATACAAGAAGTCATGACCGATGAGATATACCAAGCCGGACGTGTGGATAAATATTCAAAGACGATATTGCATTAAGGTTATACTACATCATGAACTGACGGAAACAAGAAAGTGTTGGTCAATGGAAATTGAAAGCCCTGGGTTCGATCTCCGGCACGGTTATGGGTATGCACTGCTAAGGAGTCTTGTACTAGGACAAGACAATTGTCCAGTGCTCCCAGTTTTCTAGTGTTTCTTAAATTAATGTCAGTTCATGCCGACTATCTCCTTTTCAGACTGTTCCCAGTCTAAGAAACCGGTCACTGGTTTTCCTTGAATGACCTCTTATTCAATCCCTCCAAATGTCAGATGGTTACTTTCAGCTTAAAATGTGAACAAGACTTAAGTAAATTGCTTCACTCCCATGACTCTTGTGCTATAGATGGCTCTGTTGTATGGGATGTATCAAGTATGATTGATCTTGGTTTATGCTTCTCTTCTGATCATTCTTAATCCTCTCATATCTTACTGATTCAGTGAAAAAGCCTTCGCTTGAACTTTTACGAAAGGAGACTCAAACTGTCTGGCATAACTCATTTTTTTGTGTGTTTTGTCTATACTTATTTCCCAGCCTTATTCTTTCCTGGTCTCCGGAAAAAAGATTTTGTTGCTGTGAGTAGGATTTGAAGACTGTTAGTAGACCAAATCGTACACTGGTAACACGGCTGATAAATATGGTCGTGGATAGGCATCTGAACTCTTTTAGACTACTAGCTAAAAATATTTTATTTGATGACAAGCATCTTCTGTAGTCACACCTCTCTCAATGTCTGTTATATCGGAAGATAAGAAGCAAATATATCAAACAGTATACGAACACAACTACATACAAAAATTCAGCCATATCAGCTTATTTACTTTGTGCATTGTATGAAGAAAATCATGTTAGACATAATTCTAGCAGTCGATTTTGCAAAAGAGTGCAGTTATCATGACCCTGAAGTCATTTTAACAATCCTGTTATTCTTTATTATGCGCTGTTAAACAGCACCATTCCTAACATACATTTGGAAAAAGTTGTACAACGCTTAAAGCGATTCGATATCACCCGCTGAGAATTCTATGCTTTAGACATAATTACGGTTAGGAATAAAGCAACTACAGTAGTAGTAGTAGTAGTAGTAGTAGTAGTAGTAGTAGTAGTAGTAGTAGTAGTAGTAGTAATATTAATGGCAACCTGAGACCAGTAACCCCCTTACAAACCTTCAAACTGAATGAAATAACAACTTTTCACCTTTTTATAACAAGGTTTTATTGTTACTCACTTATTACCAAAATCATCAACATGAAGCCCCTGTAAAATAAAGTTGAAATCCATCAAGAGGTCAAATCAATCAGGTTTATTTACACAGCGTCCAAAGAAATAAAACCTTCAAACCAAGGTCCAACTCTAAGCCTTTTTAGTCACCAATCATTTCAGTAATTTTCATTATTCCATGAATATTCACATTGACAAGTTGTAGATAAAATCGTAAAGTCTATTTTAATTGTAGTTAAAAAATGTTTCTTGACATAACATTTGG